AACCCAACAATTCTTCATCTTAATCAAACAACCAAACCCACAAAAAAAAAAAAAAAAGAAATTTTTTTGCCCCTAGATTCGAACGAACCCAGCTCTTAGGTTCTCGAAGGAACCCAGTGCCCGGATTCAAGAAGAGACCCGGCGCCTAGGTGCAAACGAAACCTAGGCGCCTGGGTTCGAGAAGAAACCCAGCCCTGGGTTCGACCTAGGTTTGTCGAACCCAGGGCTGGGTGGGTTCGAAGGAACCCAGCAGGGCTGGGTTCCGAGGGGAAGGAGGAAGAGAAAGGGGAAGGAGAAAGAGAAAGGGAAAGGGAAAGGAGAAAGAAAAAGAAAAACAGAAAAAAGAAAAAAGAAAAAAAAATTTAAGTTTTATTTTTCATAATATTTTTTTATATTATTTTTTTCCACATAATCACTTTTTATATTATTATATGACATGTCATCTGGTAACTGTTAAGTAACATGCCATGTCACACAATTTTTAACGGAAGGACCAAATTGGGGTAAAAATGGTAAATAGTAGGGATCAAATCAGGGATTTTTTTAATTCAGGGACCAAATCGGAGGTCCGTACAATAATTCAGGGACCAAAAAGGGATTTTAACCTTAAAAAAATTCAAAAAAGAAGTTTGAATATAGTTTGTGATCCACTAGTTTAATTTAATTTTTTCTTGTTAGTTAATTTAATTTAATTATGTACTAATCAAGAAGTCTGCTTCTGGATCCTTTTTCACGAGGCGTGCCCTACACAAATCAAGTTGATAATGAAATTTATTGAGTCTTGATAAGATTAATAACGTTGTGAATGAACATTTTCATAATAAAAAATTATTCCAATTTCTAAGCACATGGTGAGAGTCGATGTAAATATGATTAAAAATTCTTTGGATAAGTATTCGATGCACCAAGAATTGATAATCGAAGTGGAAAAGGATTGGCCCCTTGATTTCGTCATGTCTTTTGGCCATCCTCCTTTTGTCATGTTAATGACTTTTTTCCGTACGGGGAGCGTTAACCATTTAGTATGCCAAGAGATTGAAATTTCTCACCTTATTTCAATCTCAAATAAGGTTTTAATTTCAATTAGTAAGTATGGATGACTAATTATCCCGGAGATAATATCTTTTTGTTAAATTTTAAGAGTTGAATTTACTGATAAATAAGTTTTTTTTATGAAATAAGTTTAAAATTTAAGTTTTGAAATCAATACTTAAAAAAATTAATTATTTTAAATATATTAAGTCAATGTAAAAGGTCCTTGAAAAAATATTAATCTTGAAATATACAAAAATTGATTATAAGATATCTTAATAGTAAATACCAAAAAATATATATTTATATGTATGTATATATATCCCTTTCTTAAGTTTTAAGTAAAAGATTGAAATCTCTCACCTTATTATAATCTCAAATAAGGTTTTAATTTCAATTAGTAAGTATGGATGACTAATTAGCCTAGAAATAACACCTCTTTGTTTTTTGTTTTTTTTTTTGACAGGAAAATAATATCTCTTTGTTAAATTTTAAGAGTTTGATTTATTGCTGAATAAGTGTTTTTTATATAGAATAAGTTCAAAATTTAAGTTTTGAAGTCAATACTTAAAAAAATTTAATTTTGTTAAATATATTAAGCCAATATAAAAAGTTCTTAATTAAAAAAATATTAGTCTTGAGATATACGAAAATTGATTTTGAGATATTTTAATAGTAAATACCAACATATATATATATCCCTTTGTTAAGTTTTAAGTTCAAACGCATAAGCATAACATAAGATGCACATATTAAACATTACATCTAGTCAACGCATATAATAAAATGGCCTTGAAAAAAAATACTTATGATATAAATTAAAAAGAAAATGGATCAATTATTGATGGGGACAGGGCCGATAGAATTAAAAAATATTGCCGGCCAATGCAGGATATGAGTATGCAAAGAAAGGGCCAGAAAGTAAGTATGCATTATGCATATAATGCGTGTGTTTTTGGATGAAACTCAGAAGAGAAGTGAAATGGTCAGCACAATAATGTTATTCAGAACACGTGAACATTGAACATTGAACCCTGAGAAGACAGTTTGCACAAGCTTCAAACTTGTTGTGCCGTCCATGACGCAAGCAAACCTCTTCGAAGACACCAAGACAAGATAATCACATACAGATTTAAACTATGCTCACTTTGGTGTCACAGTGTGTATGTCGAAGCCACCTCCAGCACTCCCCTAACTAATTCTCCTCTTGTGATGTGCAGAGATCCAATGGCTGAGGCACTTGGATGGCTATATCATCGATTTGCTGGCTGCATTCTGAATTCATTTCTAGCGATGCCGTCACCTGAATGCCACATGCTAATGATATCAGTTGAGTCCGGTATGCGTTAATGGCACACTTAAGCAACATACTGAAAACATTTTAAAAATTACATATTAAACTTAATAAAGCAAATTTTGACCTGTATGTAACTAAATTGATAGCGTAATATAAGAAGAGACAGTTGACGCGGGGTTCATCCAGTTTTTCAATCAAATAGTAATCTCAATTCCAGCTACAACCACAATTTTGAAATCAGGGGAAGAATATGGAGGGGCAAGTTTGAGCAGCCTCAATTGAGCTGATATGGACAAGGCCCAAGATAACTTGGCACCAAGCCTACTTGAACCATCATGAGCCTAGCACACATGAACATCTTATTGCTTGTAGAAGTCAATGACACAGCAATATCTGAAAAGTGCACAAAAAGGGTATAAAGATATCATCACCTTCCATTGGCAAGGTACACTCACTACCACTTTGGGAGTGTCCCTTGGATCGACCCCCAAATCTTTGCAAGTCAATCTATGAAGATGACCTGAGGTGAACTCAAAGGAGCTGAGCTAATTAAGGAGAGCTAAGGTTAAATGCTTGAGCTAATTCGTGCATCAAAAAAAGCACATGCATATACTGAAATAAGATCCTAATTATTTCTAACTATTAAAAGTTAAACCAGTAAAGCAGAGCCTTAAAATGGAGATGTCAGAACTAATCCTGTATCCCTTCCTGTTTTATAATAAGGTACCTTCACTTAACTGCTGAAATCCTAGCTTGAACTCTAGACAAGATAAAGCTCTATGGTGTCCAAGTCTGGTGTCTTTTCCATACAAAGCCGTTAAGAGCTGATTTACACAAGCTGATCTGGTCTAGGGGTGTATCGCCTAGACAGGTTTTGTGATTGCTTGTGAGAAACAGGTTACAGACAAGAAGCTTGTCAGCACATAGAGGCATGAACATAGAAACTTACTGCCCCTTGTACAGAGAAGATGAAACCTGTTGCCACCTGTTTATGGCTTACTCTTTATGGTAAACAAGTTTGGAATGGGATCGAGAGTGGAATTGGCTGAAGCCAAGATTCAAGTGGAGAAGTAGAAGAACCAATATGTTAACAGTGACACTAGGAGCCACAGTTTGTATGATTTGCAGGGAGAGGAATTCCAGGGGGATTGCTTGCGTTTCCTAGAAGGCAGAACCTTGCAAATTGCAAGTAAAATCAATTATAAACCGATTACAGACTCCAATGTTATTATCACTTGCACTGAGAAGCTTTTTTGAGCAAATCGTAGAACATCTAAGTCTTTCTAGGTTGAGTTTTCTTGACAAAGAGGAAAATGGACATACTAATTTCATAACATGAAAGTTTACATGGTAATATGGTCCTAATTTTGTTGTGATGTTAAACTGTGTTTGACAACCTACCATTTAGAACTCAGTTTGATACTCTTTGATTTTGTTGCATTTAGAAAAGCAGTATCCTATCTTATAATATTGTCACAAATTAGCAGGTGAGCTCTCACTTGCCATAGATTAAATAATAAAATGATAATAAATTAATCTATTTAATTGTAAATGAGGCCATACTTTGTATTTTTTTGTAATATTATTGAACGTAGCTAACATTGTATCCCTGTTGCAGGGAAGAATTCCTCCATTTTCTCTTGGTTTCTGCAGAAAACGTTGGAGTGGGTTGGGTTTGAGGAGAAGGAAGACAGGAGAGAAAACCCTAAGGTAGCAAAAGAAGAAAGCGGTGTCGTTTCAATGTGCATCTTTCCCCCAGTTTTGATTGCCAATTCACCAATAGGGTTTAAAACTGAAACAACTTTCTTGATTTTCATCTTCTTTCTTTTATCATTGTAAGAAAGGAAAGGAATTCAGATCTGTTTTCCTAGCCTTCTTGGAAAAAGATAGGAAGTTCAGCTGCTGCATCCTTCCCCAAGTACTATTGCAGATTAACCCAAATGAAAAATGCAAGGATAAAACAAACAAGGACATATTCACACCTTGTGAAAATAGGAACTAAAAGTCAAATTTACCCAAATGAAGAATGCAAGGATAAAACAAAACAATGACATTCACACCTTGTGAAAATAGGAGCCAAAGTCAAATTTACCCAAATGAAGAATGCAAGGATAAAACAAGCAATGACATTCACACCGTGTGAAAATGGGAACCAAAGTCAAATTTACCCAAATGAAGAATGCAAGGATAAAACAAGAAATGACATTTACACCTTGTGAAATAGGAACCAAAGTCAAATTTACGCAAATGAAGAAAGCAAGGATAAAACAAGCAATGACATTCACACCTTGTGAAAATAGGAACCAAAGTCAAATTTCGCACGCAACACTAGAAAAACTTGTATTGGACGGCGTTTTGAGTCTTTTGGCAGTTGGGAATTCCAACGAACAAAAATCAATATAAAACCCACCATCCCTCATCTGCCTTTCCTAACCCTTCTTCAATCATTCTCCGTGTACCAGCTCTCAAGCTGTCCAAGAATCCTAATCTTACATTTCCTTGCACAGGGCCAATTCCTCCATAGCATTGATCCATGGCCAACGCCAAGAGGATGGGCAGCCTTTTGCTAAGGCTTATTGCCTTTGGCGCAACACTAACAGCAGTGATTGTAATGGTAACAGCTCGAGACAAAGCTACGTTTTTCACCGTCTCTTACGAAGCAAGATTCAGCGATACTCCTGCTTTTAAGTGAGTTCTATTGATAATTGTTTCGTTATATGTTCTTCTTCATTGTGACATGGTGATTGATCAAGGCATGTTGCTGCTTGATCAGGTACTTTGTCGTTGCATACACAATTGTGAGCATCTATGGATTTTTAGTTCTCTTTCTTCCATCGGAGAGTTTGCTCTGGCGATTAGTTGTCGCCTTGGATTTGGTAAGTAAACAGAACATATAGCATTGTTACAATTGCTAACAAATTCAAGCACGATGAGTACTGACAAATTCAATCTTATTTTGATGATAAATATAAGGTTTTCACAATGCTGCTCACCTCAGGCGCTTCAGCAGCATTGGCAATTGGTTATGTTGGGAAGAAAGGAAATCCAAACGCAGGATGGCTACCCATCTGTGGTCAAGTTCCCAAGTACTGCAACCAAGCAACTGTAGCATTAGTTGCTGGATTCATTGGCCTCATAATCTATACAATGCTTGTTCTCCACTCGATTCATGCCGTCCTCAATCCTCTCCTTCTCCAGAAATCTTAGATGGGTTCAGGAATGGCATTAAGTTTTTGTTCTATATGATAGCTTTACATTTCTCTTTTAGATTGTGTGTATGGTTTTTTGTATGTCATTAGAAACAGGTTTAACTGCCTATTTGGTTTTTTGTATGTCATTAGAGGAGGAAAAGGAATGGGAGGGGAGGAAAACTTAGTATAACTAATCAAATTGCTTCGTTAGCCCAATGACTTAATTTGATTGGTCAAAATGAAGTCATCTTCTCTTTTCTTTCCTCCCTTTCCTTCATTTTTCTTTAAACGTTATGAAAATAAAAGTATCGAAGTGTAGCACGGGATATGTGTCCTCTGCCAACAATCAAAATCGGTCAACTCAGCAATTTTATTGATTTCTCGCTAAGTTGGTTGATTTTAGTTGGAGGAAGGTTATAGCAAAGACTTTCTCCTAAAAGATAGACATGTCCTCTGTTTCATTCCTTTTTTCTAAAGTGATGGGCCATATTTTGTTGCATTAGATCAAACAAAATGACATACTTTTTGGGGAGGAAAAATGGTTCAACTACTCTAGCTAGAGAGCGTTTAAGAAAGTAACTTCTCAAGGACTCCCTAATCCTGACCCAGGAGGATTGATCGTTAAGAGGGTGCACTTATAGAAACTTCGTTTTATGAAAAAGTCTACAATTGCGTCTATACCCCAAACCTCCAACCACAATCTACCAGAGGCAATGACTTCTCTCTCTCTACCATTCAGTGGCTTCCCTCTTTAAACTTTTAAAATATTACTAATTTAAATGTCAAAGTGTTTCAAGTTAAAAAAAAAAAAAAAATTTGTAAAAGTGTTTACCCAAGATCCCCACCTGAAGTCTCAAGCAGCTTGGTCAAGATCTATATATTACTAGAATTTGTGTAATAAGCCAATAACATAATTCAAGGTTTTTTTGGATGGGTAGAGTGCTAAGTAAAAAAATCGCATATCAACAATATTATAAAGAAACATGTAAATTAAATATAATGAGGATTATTTCATGTATAACCAATTTATTTTAAATTAGATGCAAACTTTATCTTGAATCTCACATGCCTAATCAAATAATTTTAAGGTTACACCTTCTATATTAGTCTAATATCTTATAGTCAAAGACATTAATTTCCTTTAATGCCTATCCTTAATTTCCTTTAAGACTTGTTTAGAGGTAATGGTTAGCAATTTTGCCTAAACTGTTAAGAATAAGTGTTTGGTAAATTATTTATTTTGAAACTGCTATAAATTAAAAGTTTGATAAAACTTTTTATTTAACGATTTAAAATTAACAGATAGCGATTAAAATCCAATCCACTAGCAGATTGAAAAAGCTATTTAAAATAGTTTTTTGTACTAAATCTTTAGCAGATTAAAAGTTTTTAATTTTATTGATAAATTTATTCTTTTTAATTTTTTTGCCATAGTTTTTAATTAGTACTTATCTAATTAGTTTTAATTTTATTTTTTTGTCTTTAATAATATTGAGTAATTATTATATTTTTATTTTAGGTTAAACCCCTATTTTGGTCCTTCAACTATTGTATAGACCTTCGATTGAGTCCCTCAACTCAAAAAATCTCTGATTTGATTCTTACTGATTATCATTTTAGCCCTAACTTGGTCTTTTTGTTAAATTTTTCACATTAATTGATGGAGAAAGTATTACATGTTTAAAATTTTCACACGAAAGATTGATAGCTTAGCAAAACAAATGACATGGCCAACAATTTTGTCCTTGTAATTCCAACTCATCCCACCTAAAAAAAATTCTCTTTTTTTAGTTTTTTTTCCCTCTCTTTCCCCTTTCCCCTTTCCCTTTCTCTTTCCTCTTCCCTTTCTTTAACTTTTGCAAATCTAACATCACTACTATTGGGTTCAAAAAGAACCCAATAGGTTTGTTGGGTTCCATTGAATCTAGTAGATGGAACCCAACAGCTGTGTAGGGTTTGATCAAACCCAACACCAGCAGATTTGTTGGGTTCTCAAACCCATCACTAATAGATTCGTTGGGTTCGATGGAACCCAGCAGTTGTGCTGGATTCAATTAAACCCAGTAAGCTTGGAAAAGGCAACTTTGTTTAATGATGAGGAAGAATTAATTGATGAAGAATGGAGTTATGAATTGATTGTTTGATTTAGAATGAATGAAGAAGATTTGAGAAAGAGGATGCCAAAGGAAGAAGATGAGGACAAAATTGTAAATTTAATGTATTAGACAATTATATTTGTTTTAT